GCCTGTGGTTGGCTCTTAGGGCTTTAACTTTGCGGAGGCTGAAAGCTCATTTTTTATTTCTTAAGCGGTTCACTGCTGGCTTATCCAACAATTAGCTTTTTTGTTGATAATGGTGATGACGTTTCACCAAATCCACTAGCCCCAGCAAAAAGCAACTACAAGACCATGATCATCGATCACCATCAACATCATCATCATCATCATCATCATCATCATGCTCCTTAACACCGTCTCCGGCAGTGTCTCCGCCGACACAATCATCTGCTGTCATTGCCATCACCATCCCTGTCATTCTCCTGCCGCTGTTCTTTCGCGATGTCTGTGCAGCTGACGCTGGTTGTTGTTAGTTGACCGCGTAAGTTGAAGAGCGGGTGAGGGTTGCAGCGTTTTGAGTCCAAGCTTCGCCGTCATTTCTGTAGAGCCCTGACTAATCATAATCAACCTCCGCTTCTTTGAGGACCGTAATGTGATGATCGATGATGCCTACAACCAATAATCATCTCATTGAGGTAGGGGGAATAATGATAGGGGATTAGGTTTACATGTGTCGGAGCTTGAAGACTTGAAGAGTTCAAGGTTTTCGCGAATGCAGTGCTGTTTTGGGTTGCAGGGTCGGGCTTCATCAGGCTTTAGGTGACTTTAGGCCTACAGCCAGGCGTTCGGGGATATGTTTCGGAGATTTATATGGACAATTCCTAGACTCTATCGCCTGTATTAGTCATCAGTAATCGTCTGAGCACAATGCAGCTGCAATACCAGAAAGACACGGTGTGCATGCGAGGCATTCTGATTGAAGCCAGTGGTTTTGTGGTTTATCTGTGAGAGGCTGGTCGTACACCCTCACGATTTTGAAGGCTATGATACGAGCATGGCTGCGCAAGTCTCGACCAGGTATCACATGTGGTGCCGTGAGAAATATTGCTGACACCGAAATTCAACTCCAAACCAAAAACCTCCTAAAACCCTAAACCCCAAACCCATAATAAGCCACAACCCTAATTAAACCCCAAGCCCTACGCCCCCAAAAACCCAGAAGCCATAGACCTGACTGCCAGGCTTTGGTGGCAGCTCCCCCGAAAGATCCGGCCGAGCTGCAGGACGGCGCAAGCTTAGCTGTTTTAGGGTGTTAGGGCTTCTAAGGTTTAGGGCTTGAGGGTTTATGCTTTAGGGTTTAGGGTTTAGGCGGCACCAAAACCGTCCGTACCTTTGTGGATCCCTTCTTCCGTACGCATTGTATAGGCCATTAATTGTTGTAAGGGCCAAGCTTCAGGTTCCTTATTACGAACTGAATCATGTATATCCCTTAAGAGGGTTGGCTTTTCGTGCTACAGGTATGGCTTGAGGTTCGAAAACTTACGAGCTTCCGAACATATGGTATGCGAATACAGAACCCGCACTACAATGTAAAGGAACCGAAAGACAAGGTGCGATACATCGAATAATGGTAAAGGGTTTGCTGTTTAGGCTTGGTGGTTTCGTTGTTTGAAGGTGCTGCTTGCAGGTTCATGATCAGGGAAGCAAATAGCAGACTCACCATTTAGCATTCAAGCCTATCCCGCGACAGGTGCAGTTCCTCCTACAAGTTCAAGCTTCCCCAGAATGCCACAGTTACTTCTAAGTCTTCAACTTAACTCCACGAGCACCTCACATGGAATTTCTAGGGTGGACTCCGATACCGATCTCTAGGACGGTATTACTATGCGGATACCTGAACAAAACGTATCCTACGGTAGATACTCTCCACAGCTCCGACATGCTCACCTACAACTATAGCTATCTCTGGCATATGGAAGCCGGAATTTCAAGTGATTCAAATGACTGTGCGATTGGGCTATAATCGCTAGCGGGAGAAGGTGAAGGACCTTGCAATAAAGGCACTCGACAAAAGCAATGAATGCGCGACTCTCTGCCTGTTCTCGTACGGGGCAAAGACAACGGACGAGCTGGTGAAACACTCCGAGGTGTTCACGAGCATATACATGGAGTTGATGGTGAAGGTCAACGAGTCGGCCCAGAGCAAGGTTTGATGAGCTGTGCGAAGCAGTATGTGATGCAGACCAAGTTGTCTGAATCCGTACTGAATTCAGCTCCGGCTTTCACTGCCCGGGCAAAATCGAAGCCTCGCAGACCGAAAGCCAAAGCGGTAGCGACGCAGCTCCATGATGCATGATCAGATGTGCACCGCAGCATCGAGGGTTGTGTTTGGACAATGGTCGTGTATCACGGAGAACAAGTTTGCGCATTGGATTATAATTACCTTGCAGATACTTACGACCCCTACATTCCCCAGTGGTACCCTTTTGCACTTTTTTCTTTTGGGGTTACGGTATTGAAACCAAATAGAAAGAAACGAAGGGTACCCTTATTATTAAGGGCTATTCAGGAACCGAGACATGATTCCTGCATGTTCGAGTTCTGCCTTCAGAGTGCTGTTGAATATGAGTACTAGGCTCCGAAAAACGGCATCTACAAATAGATGCGTTGCCCCTCAGGAGTTTGAGATGGAGTTGGCGCAGGTGCGTCTTCCATCTTCGGTTTAGGAGCACTATAGGGGCCTTATTCATAATTAACTATCCTATTTTGGTGGTTCCTTATTGTAATTATAGTATAATGGGCCGATGCACATGGGATACGAAGTTATCCGGGACACATTGCAAGCTGCAATTCCTATGGAAGTGCAACGTCGGCAGGGCTGGTGTCAGGGCGCCCCTCAAAACTTCAGCACTGTCCCCCTGGACGGGTGCCTTGAGCTTAGGGCTTAGGCTTTCATGAGACCTACATACCTAAGCCAAGAACTGTGCATAGCCTATTTTATGGTCAGGAGCCAATCATTACCACCATTTAGGGTCTAGTGAGAGACACCTTGTGCACCAAAGCTCTACTCTGTTACTTTAAATTGCTACAGAGATCATTGGATATCGTAGAAGTCGCAAAGCTACCCATGTGCATCTGCCAGCAAGACAAAATAAATAGAGCCACATGGAGTGCACATCTTGTTTTTTGTTATCAGCCCGTCGAACCCTTGAGTGGCAAAAGACCCAGCCGAACAGACAGACAGGCAGACGCGTATGCATGCTTACATGCACCAGATGCGACAAGTATTTCGGGCTCTGCACCCATGACCTTAGCAGCCCGACATCCACTAAGTAGACCTTAGCCCTGCACCCTCCTTAGCAGCAACATTCCAAGGGTAAAAGGAGGGACCCTTAATAAGGACCCCTAGGTATATACCCTTAATATAGCTATTATATACCCATGATAAAGCCCATTATAGGGTAGGGGTTCCCATTGAGGGTCCCCCTTTTCCCCTTTGAAACAAGCAGCTCCATTCCTTGGCAACTGTATTGCATAGTTTTGTAGCACCCAAAGATCCCTTACCCTAGGCCCTGAGCTTCGACGATCCCCAATCTCCAGACATCCGAAGGTGCATCAGCAGTCCCATGAGGTCCCTAAAGACCAGCTTAAAATAAGACCAGATCCAGGACCCCCTTAATAGTACTGCTGATGGACAAATTCCTGCATTGCCCAGTAAAAGCAATATATCATAGTTCCCATAGCTTAGAGTCCTTAGGGGCATGCAGGATTTTGTCCATCAGCCGTATTGGTAATTATTGTGGCCCCTACATTTTTGTGACGGATCTTTCGAAGGTGCGGCGGCAGTTCCAAGTGCGCGAGGTTCCGGCTGATATCTTCAGAAGAAAGGCCTCGGCCTCGGGCGCTTCCTTCAAGGGTCCAAGTACCTGATAATCGTATACTCTCCAAAATCCTAACCTACAGAACTACTATCCTAAAACCGAGTACCTAATTATTGGATCATTTGGATCCTTGGGTGCTTCCCGAACGAATGGCAGCTTGCGAGGATCCCCCTCGTACCCTCATAATCCCTAATAATGGGTAGTTGTCAAGATCATGGTCCTTTTTTGGGTCCCTAATCTAGTACGGCACCTAATATTTAGGGTGCCCAAAAAGGGATCATAATTTTGACAACCACCCATATAGGGGGGTCTCAAGAAATTAGTCGGCATTTAGGATCTAATAAAACTTATATAATAGGGTAGACGGTTGGGCTCTCTAAGCCAAACGTGTATACAGGCTTCCTGCTTGTCAGCAAGGTCTTTGTCTTGACGTGGCTTGATTGGCAAAACATCGTTTTTGTTGTTGGGTTTGGCAGGGAAGATAGCAGCTTTTCGGGGCTTGCAGAATTTACAAAAGACATATCAGGCCAACACCGTAGGTAAATGCGTGGAGCTCTACTGGACAAGTTTCGGTCGTCCTATATGTCGGCATTACGTTTAATGTTTTTTTTTTAGCGTTTTGTTGTGTTCCTGGTCGTGGTCTGTTTTTAGGGTTCTGCAATGCTCGTGGTTCTGCTTCAGGGCTGGCAGCTACACCGACTCACTTCATCTTGCAGGGGTTCAGACGCAGCTTTGCCCTACTCTCTTCCCTAAGGCTCGATGTACCCTTATAGTATATACTTAGGCCTTAAAGTAGCTATATAGGGACCCCTCTAAGGCCTAAGTATCTCCTATATGGGTACATGGAGCCTTTCGGCTTTGCCCTACTTGCACGTTCTGACTGCTGTTTGAGATAAGTTCGCGGCGTTGGCACGAGAAGCACAGAAACACTAAAACCCTCCACCTCTAGTTCTGTATGCACCACCCGCGGCCACCGAATCCACACAATTTCGAGGGTTGAAAAGACCCTGGTCTCAGTATCGTGGCCTCTATGTTAGACACTGGGCTGTGAATGAAACGCTCAACTCGCATAAGCTCACGGGCAGGGGTGCCAAACATCAAGGCCGTTTGAACTCACCTGAACCACCCTCCCACTATACCGAGCATCATGATGTCATGCTTTCCTGGGATGTCGCATGAATTGTTCAGACTACGACTTAGGCCCTTTTATCCCTCTACCATCGTCCGAAGCGCCATGGGTGCATGACCTTGCTGTGGAAAGCTGGCTGGATTTTGAGCTTGTCTCTCCGGGCCAGCGCTGCGACCATGTCCTGCAAGCTTGCAGTCGTCGCCCGCAAAGATCTGGGTGCCTCGTCTTTGACCGCTCAAGTCTTCCTGAAACCTTGTTGCCGTAATATTGAAGAATAGTATATTTATTCTCATTGTCCTTGTTTTTAAAGCCTTGAAGTTTAAAGTACAAAATCGCCAGAGGCTTACCTGACTGCTGTTCTGGATAGGAGACATTGTAGCCCGCCCTTCCCCCAACTAACCTACCTTGCCAAGACCCACATATAAAGAAATCATTACCGGAAGCCCGCCTGAAGCCGAGGCATGTGTGCAGGTAAGCTTGAAGGAAACATTAGAGGATCACATAAAAAAGAGAAAAAGCCATCAAGGGCCCTGTTCTAAACTAAGCCCTATACCGTAAGCGCTCCTGAAGCTGAGGCATGTCTGCAGGTAAGCTGGCTGCGCAGGTGGGCCACGCAGTGCACGACACCGTGACCGAGCCTCGGCTTTCTCTGAGCTCAGTTTAGGGGACCCTAAACCAAAAACCGTGTCGGGGTTTAGGGGTTTACAGGTTTTGTGCTTAGGGTTTAGGGGTCTTTCAGGGTTCCTTGAAGGGTTTAAGGGTTCCTTCAGGTTGGTTAGTTTGTTATCATTAGGATGGCAGTTAAAGGTCCGTACAACGAGGATGTCTTAAGGAAGAGCCAGTTCACTGTATACCTCCTGCTTGCAATATGAAGGAACCCTTCATAGAAAAGCTCCTTGTGCTGTCGCCAGCCCTACACCCCAAACCCCAACTGCTAACCCTAAACCTTAGACCCCGCCAAAAAACCCTAAACCCATCCAATAAACCCGAAACCCCCAAACCCTAAGCCCTTAACCGCCAGACTGGTAGTCCCCGCTGTTTTCTCGCAGAGTCAGGAATGCGATCCGAAGAAGTTGGACGCGTGGGAAGAGGACATTTGCCACATCTCGCACTGCTGTGACCCTAAACCCTCAAACCCTAAACCCTAAGCCCCTAAACCCTAAAACCTCAAACCCTAAACCCTAAGCCCCTAAACCCTAAAACCTCAAACCCTAAACCCTAAGCCCCTAAACCCTAAACCCTAAACCCTAAACCCCTAAACCCCTAAACCCTCAAACCCTAAACCCCAAAGAAGGTTCAGGGTCATAGGGCTCCAGGGGTTGGATGCAGGTAGTTGGAGTAATCTCCAGATAAGAGGGGTGTAGGGCTTTTTAGGGTTTAGGGTTTAGGGTTTAGGGTTTAGGGTTGAGTCCTTGCACAAGGAATCTTTGATCTTACCTCCTTCGTCCCACCTTTCGAGGCCTCGCAAGGTTCTATGCTCATAGTAAAGTGAATGTATGTAGATGTGCGTGTAAGGATCAAAAATCGGAAAGTACCCCAATCCCCTGCAGTGTCTGCTGCTCAAAGTCCGAATCCTGACATCGGAAACACTCACACTCAGCGAGCCTACATGTACTCCGACGTATCTATTGCAAATGAGCGTTGAATAGTTGTGCTCTGGCAGTTGACGACCATATGCTTCCCCGGCTGCATGTCCTAGTGCATGACTCTCTTGTTTCCAGATTGTCGCTTGAACATCGCCATTGGAACCACAAAGCAGAAGATGCCTCACATGCGCTGAGGGTGTAGAGGTATCGGCCTTGGACAGGACGGCTCCATGATTGTAGTGTTGGAAGCCAATTCTGAGGAGGAGCTCAAAGGCGTGCCAGTTACTGATTCTCACATGAAGTCTTAGCTTGGCGGTTTATGCGCAGCCTCATGTCCTAATCGTAGGGTCATGCGGCATCCAGAAAGTCCAGTACTAGTTCCGACGGTTTCGGGTTGCTTTCAGTTTCTAGCCGCAATTTGTATGCAGTTGTCCAGTTCGAATTTTTTCCTTACAGGGCAGGAGCCCCAGGCCGTGAAGAAGGCCGATCCCCCATAGAGTTTCAAAGCCCCAAGCCCTAAGCCATCCTGAACCCCCCAACCCTGCTGCCTTTAAAACTGATCTCCTAAAGCGTAATCGCGTAGGCCACGAAACACAGGAAACCCCATAGACTCCATCCCCTCATATTCCCTGTATATTTTTCTAAACGCCAAAACCTTATTCCACTTGCTAACACCCTTACATTCGTCATACCCAAAGAGCCAAGAGCGTTGAGAAAGACCCCAAACCCTAAAAGCCTACTGTAAACGCCCAACCCTAAACCCTCATAAAACGAGTCGCAGAGGCCTGGAGGCGTTGGCAAAGCGGCAAAGCTTGCAGGTCGCGCCTATAACGGACGAGGGTCTGACGGAGGCCGTGGGGCAGGGAAGAACCTGGGCTAAATAATTACATATATATATATATATATATATATCGTTATTTGGGTCTATAGTGGCCTCGATAAGTAGAATAGGGCTTTTATGGTTGCTTTCCAGGGAGTGTAATTATGCTTTTTGTTTTCGGGTTTAGACGCACTTCCCTTGGTGGCTGGGCCCTGACTTTGGGAGCGTGCGGCTCTTTACGTAAGGTCTTCCCCGTAGATCCCAAAGCCTACAGTTCAGACCTCAGTTCCCAGAGTATAGAGTATAGATGGGCTTTATGGGTCCCTAATATAGTACGGCACCTGATATCTGGGGTACCCAAGAAGGGGCCCTAATTTTGACAACTACCCAGATACTTTCCGTATGCTTGGAATGGTATGTGACTTGCGAAGCTACGGAGCACCCGCCTGGCTCCCTTCAGAAGCGACCAGAGCAGGTGGAAGATGAGACATTGACCGTGCTGGCCATCGGCCCCGATGCATCCAAGAAGGCATCCGCCATGGTGGTGATGGTGGGCTCCTGTAGGAAGCACCTGGACCCTCCTTATACCCTTAAATAGGGGTATATGGCCCCAAATAATGGTCATCTAGGGTCTAATAAGGGACCGCTCTGGGAGTAGGCTCCAGCGTGCAGCATCGTTCAGGCCGTGTTACTATGGAGGTGGAGGACTTGTGCAGGCTCCTAATACAGTAAACCCTAAACCCACACCACAGACGATGAAGCCCTAACGAGTTCCAAACAGACGGTGAAGCCCTAACGAGTTCTATTTGGATTCAGGTCTCGGAGTGCTTAGATCAGTTGGTTGTGAGATCATTACACTCCGCCGGCATCGAAGGCGACAAACAGGTTATAAGCCTCAAACCCTGAACCCTAAACCTTAATCCTACACCCTCAGCCCTGACAGGTAGACACCGTGACGGGCAAGCTGAGTCTCTATCGCGACGAGGCTGCTGAGCTACGCGAGAAGCTCAAGGCACAATCTGTGACCAAAGCCGAATCAGGGGATTGCAGTTGAGGGCTAGGTTTTGCGTTTAATGTATGACTTTAGGGTGTAGGGTTTAGGATTTTTAGAGTCTGTTTATGTTTAAGGCTTCAAGGATGTAAGTCTGAAGAGCTTCGGGTTCAAGTTCGTGGTCGAAGGAGTTCAAGATGTAGGGCCTCTTTTCCTAACCAGAGGGGCTAACATATGGGGTAGCTTGGAGTTTTGATCCGTGTCGAGACAATAGGACCAGGATTGCGGGGTTAGAAGGGTGGATCTGCACTTACAAGACAGTCGGATTGTCATGTTAGGATCCCCAATAGAATGACTCAAAAGCGGGGTACTCCGCGGTGTTAAGACGGCCTACACTGCCTACACCCTAATCCGAAGCTCCTGCAACCTAAACCCCGGGCCTCCCAAAAGCCCAAAGTAGGTACTATTCATAGACTGTAGACTCCAACTTAAGTCTTAAGTACTATTTGTATACTTGGAGCCCTGAGAACACCCCTCAACCTAAACTCCTAAACCGCCAAACCCTAAACCCCTCAACGTTTATGGTTTAGGGTTTAGGGTTTAGGGTTTTGGGGTTTAGGGTTTAGGGTTTAGGGTTGCCTTTACCGGTTTTGTTAGAGGATCCTTATAGGAGCCCTTAGCCTGCTTGGCCCAGGGCCCAGGCCATATAAACCCGATACAAGTTTAGTAAATTTCTACCTATAGTTTCCGTTGTAGTTCCTTTTTTTGGTTCACCAAAAAAATATAAAATGGGATCCTAACCATAACAGCAGGTTAACCAAAACAAGGAACTACAATGGAGACTATAGGTACTGCGTACCAGCTTTTCCACACATCGCTGACATCTCACCAGGCGGCAGAAAGCGAGCTGGCAAAACTGAAGGAGCGTTCTGAGATGTGAGCCGTGCCACAGATCGGAATCAGGCCTTAATTCCCAAGAGGCGACAACATGTTCAGGGTTTAGGACTTGAAGTTTTATGACTTGCTCCGTTCATGGCTTGAGGACTTCATGATTTGGAGTGGGAGTTGCCGCTGTTTGGCCATGCGTGGCTTAAGCCTGTGCCCCTGTGAGGCCCAGTCAGAATTCCAAGTCTCAAACTATGCAGACCCAGTAATTAGAACTTCCAAACTCTTCAGGCCTAGGCACAGAGAGCGCGGGGATTCGATCGGTTTTAAGGCATTAGAGCTTTGACGCCGGAAGAGCGGTCAATAGCACACCGCGGCTGCACCAGTTGATTGGACAGAGCCATGTGGCCTTCGCAGAAAAGGCGCTCGCAGTGATTATCCGGATTTCTCAGAACCTAAAACACCAAGTTTTGTCGGCCACGGTCAGTTAGATTTTGCAGTCTAGGGTCCAGGGATCTGATTTAAAGAGAAAAAAACACTAAACCCTACACTCACCAGGGTTATTATAAGGAACTGTGGGTGCAGGATGTGTGGCTTGGATTTCTCAGGATTTCAGGATGCAAAGCTCCTGGAGTCTGGGACTTGCAGGGCTTAAGTCGGTGAGGCTTCGAGCGTTTTTGAGGCTCAGAGCTTTGGGGGTTGGGGGTTTTGGAGAGTTTCAGGGCTTGGCGTTTAGGGCTTCGGGTTTAAGGGTTTAGGGTTATAGGGTTAAGGGAGTTTCAGGGCTGAGGGTCTATAATTTATATAAGTCTTACGGTTGGGGGTTTGGGATTCAAGGTTTGGTTAAAGCCTGCGAGCCCTGAGTCACCATGCCTTCAGTGTGGGTTTTGGCCAGTAATCCATAGCGCTAGAAAAATGAAAAGTCTGTCTTTCGGCGAATAATGTATGGGCCTGGCCAATTCGCACTAGTACGCCCTCAAGTCCCTATATGGGAGTATCCGAAAATTTGGGGTACCTCATTTTGGGGTCCTTATAAAAGGATCCTAGTATCTAGTCTACTAGACTAGGGTCCCCTGCTTACAGAAACTCCCGTATCAAGAGACGAGGGTATATCCCATAAGCTTGTTCGACTTCTTTAAGGCGCCTGTGTCACAAACCGTGGCTTGAAGTTTAGGGTTTCTCTTTCCGGAAACACCCCAAAGTTTCGTGGATGTTACACCTTAGGTACTGCCCCCATACAGTAAGAGTCTATAATAGGGCTACTATTAAGGTCCTGATATATCTATAACATGAATATTATTATACTATTACTGAGTGGGGGCCGTACCCAAGCTACACCCAATTTTGAGGGCCAAAGGATCCTTGCGTGTGCTACGGGTGTCTGCGAAAAAAGGCTGATCGGAGAAGAGAAAGCAGAGATACCCCAAGTCTTTTCTCCTTGAAAGGCTCTAACTTGAAATCCCTAACTTACCTACCAAACATAAACTGACGCACCTGTTATTCAGCCAGGGGACCAACTCGAAGCAACCCAACTCCAGAAGCCACAACCCCACCCTGAACGCTGCACCCTCTCAAATGCCAAGATGTTTACACTGCAGGGTCGTGATAAGGGATTAGGGTCGAGAGGGGTTGAGTAGGGCAGACTGTTCTAGTCAAATTATGCTGCACTTCACTACACCTGCCCTGAACCTTTTTGCCCTCAAACCTGAAACGCTAAGGCCCTAAACCCCACATACGCCGAACCACGATCCCCTTGAGCTTTACTTGAAATCCTCGTGGTTCTTCTAAGGTCGCGGACTGGCACGAGATGGCAAGGCCCGCCGGAAGAGAAGTTTGGGTGGGGGTTCTTGAAACTGCGGGTTTGTAGACTGTGGGCCGGCTTGTATGGGTGTCTCAGAGACTAACTAATAGACCGTACATAGTGGGACCTTGGCACAAACACATACAATGTTACCAGAAGGACACCTTATACTGCTGACAACCAGCCGTATCAGTTTTGTTTTCTGCAGCATTCATGTTCCTGCAAAGGCAGTCTTCCAGTCGTGGTTTGTGCGGCTTGACAAGGTTTTGTCTAAAGGCCTTACAGGCATCTATCTGGTTGCTAACGAATTGACTTAAAAGCCCTACCCCGCTGCACCCCAAACCCCGTATGCCCTAAACCCTGAAGCCCAATTCCGCTAAATGCACATGCGCGCACACACACACACACACACCGTAAGCCCTACGCTTAATCATGCCCTAAACCCGAAGCCCCCCTAAACCCTGAACCCTGAAAAACACACCTAAACCCTAAAACCCGTAACTTTCGAACCTCAAGGCTTTGGAGCCCCAAAGCCCCAAACCTTCAACATTGCAGGCGCAGGATGTCTGAACACCTCTACTACGCCGGCGACCCAGGTATTGCCCTGGTGAGGCTCTAGGGACTCGCACTTTGAGTCAGACATCTCAACCCCTGAACCCTAAACGTAACAAAGCCTAACCTTAGGGCTATAGGAGCCCAATACAACTTTAAGGCAAGAGCGACTCAGATGTCCGGGCTCTTGGGCCCAAAGACACTAGCACGCGAGCGTTTGGGGCCAGTGGTTTATTTTAGGCCTCGGGCATCGTTGAGCTTTGCGTCGTCGTCGCTGACTTCCAAAGCTTTGGAGTTGTTCATCAGGGGCCAAAAAAACACATAAGCACAAGCATTTTATAGGGATATCCCTACCATAATGGGCTTCAGTATAAAGGGAGTTTATATGGGATATCCCTATCCTAATTTTTGCTTATGTGCTTTTGTGGGGTCCTAGTTCAGGCCTGGAAGGCTCTGGTCTTGCGGCTTGCTTGTAGGATTGCTTGGATGCGACTCCCTGATTTCCAAACCCGCAGCCCACTTTCTGAAGTCTTAATGGGAGTTGTGCAGCTTGTGCCGGGTACTTAGTGTATTCTCGGCAGACCCCAAACCCCCTAGAATATGTATTCTGGATCGAGAATTGGACTTTACCCATCAGTAGAAAACCTATGTTCTACCCTTGCCAAGCCTTATAAAAAGTTTATGGAATCCTTTGAATGCTGACACTGAGGCATGCTCTTTCCCTGGCTGTGGTATGGCGAACTGGATCCTCAGGCCGCTGGCGGTGGGTTCACTCAGGTTTAGGGTTGGGTGTTTGCGGTTTATAGCTCGGATTTAGCGTTTACAGGAGAGTTTAGGACTGATTTTGTAGAGTTTGTGGTCGGGGGTTGAGGTCTTAGGGTGTAGGGTTTAGGGCGTCGAAGAGGTGGCTTAGGGATTCGAAATCGAAGCCCTAAAGCCTGAGGTGGATAAGATCCCCATCTCTAAAACTGCCCTGGAGTGGAACAGAGCCATAGAAAACAAGCTGCAGATGCAAATTTCATCTTCCATCTCTGCGAGTCTATTGTTTCAGTACCAGAGCAATTCTTACAAGTCGTCTTGATGCCCCACTATAAGAAACCTGTCAAAGCCTTATGTTCAGGGTTGCGAAATATAGAAGCCTAATAATTGACCCTTCCTCGATATAGTTGCCGAAATCCAGTTCCAATGAAGGCAACTATATCACATAAGCCGTCTAGTAACCCAATTAGAACTCTTTCAAGAAACCAAGGGTACCCTTAGAGGAACTTCAAATAATCTTGAGAGAAACCCAAATGCGACCCTTACAGGAAGGAGCCTGCTCGTCCCACAAGGATTATCATATTCTTTGCAAAGTAGCTAGAGTGCAGAAACGCAGGCCTCAGGACAGTCTCTTCTAAATCGTAAGGGTACCCTTAAAGGAACCCCAAGTAATCCTGAGAGAAACCCAAATGGAACCCTTACAGGAACCCCTGAAAAGCAAGCAGAAGAGAGCATTTCTCAGTTTGCGGGGCATCCTCCCCCTGCTACAAACCACCGGTCCTGTGAGGACGGACTTCGAGCGCGAGTGCCTCCCGGGGTTCGGGTGTAAGGTTTCCTAGACTTAGACCCCCCAACTACCCTCTATCAAACCCCGAAATACCAGCTATTGAGGGCCATAAGGGCTCTATTCAAGGATACTTGGGGGGTCCTGGTTTGGGTCAAGGGTTTCGGTTGTAGGATTCAGGGTTTGAAATTGTGGAGGCGAATTTCTCGAGGACGGGTGTGGGCGTCACAGGGGCAAGAGAGTCCAGAGTAGGATGGTGCGGAGTGGGTTTGTTTCGAATCTTGTCGGCCACAGCAACCCTGAACCCTAAAACCCTTCCACTCATTCTTACAGTAGTGTCCCGGCATAAAAGCCTAGAATCTCCTAGAACCCTCTACTGACATCCCGCGGGGATAGCTGTCCCCGGATTCCTAGGTCTGAAGCCCTGTAATTACGTATCATACCCGTATATATTAATTGGGCTCGTGTAGCAACCCATTATGTGGATATCTCGACTTCCAGGCTGTAACGTCTGTAATCAGCTATGATCCGAAGCTGGGCGTACTGCTGGTAGATGTATCGCAAAACTCCACCACACAAGCCACGTAACCCACACACGAATCCAGCCCTACATACCTTAGGCTCCACACTGCGCAAACAAGCAGGAAACTGAGATTTTGCTCGCACACTGCGAACATAAATCCGGTTTGAGTGCATCTGCCCCGAAGCACTCAATTACCCAAACCCGGCCGGATTAGGGACACATAGCAGCTGTTGAGTAGAAGCGCATATGCCATGACCTGCCGATTGAGTCGTGCATTCCCTCTTGAGTTTAAGCATGCTATGCCACGTTGGAGTTTCTGCATGCGGGGGCCGATTCAGTGAAGATGCGCCGTGAGTCTTTCTCAAGAGGCAAAACGCAGGCCTGCACAAACCCAGGACCCTCAGAACAGTCCCCACACCCTCATTCATCAAAGCTTAGTCAACTGGGTTGTCCTTTGGGATCTTGTTCATTTTTCCCTACTATTTTGTAGAGAACCATAACAGTAAAACCTTTTCAAAGGGCTTAAAGGACAACTCAGTCAAAGACTTCGAGCAACACTCCGACCAGGTACAGATCCAGGGGTCTTTGCAACTGGGTCTGCCCGAAAGGCCACAGGCCAGCAGCTTTGATTTCCGA